GGGGGTGGCGGCACTGCCGCAGCTGTCTGCGCTGTCAGCCCCGGCTGCTGCTGCGGCTGCTGCGGCTGCTGAGGCTGCTGTCCCTCGTAGCCGGTTAGCGGGTGCATGCCACTCACACCCAAAGGTGTTTGTCCCAGTGGCTGTTGCTGCTGTTGTTGCTGCTGCTGCTGCTGCTGCTGCGGTTGGCTGAGCGTGGTGTTGTCCATTTGCGTTTGGCTCTTGTCTTCGCTGATCTCTTCAGCGGATTTCGTTTCGTCAGCCAACTCGCTTAAGCTCTGCTCCGCCAGCAGCTCCTCTGTCTGCTGCTGTTGCTTGTTGCCGCTGTCCAGCTCCTCCGGCAACGTTGTCTCACTTAGAGTTTCGGGCTGCGTCTTCGAGACACTATTCTCGTCCTGTGCCAGCTGGGCGCACAAGTCATCAGCACCTGTTGCCGGCTGCTGCTGCTGCTGTTGTTGCTGGTGTTGTGGTTGCTGTTGCTCTGGCTGCTCGCTCTTCGAGCTCTCGAATTCCGCATTCGATGATTGGGAATTGCTGTCGAGCAGTGCTGCCGCTGCATTGGCCGCATTTGAGGCAGCTGCAACGGCAGCAGCGCTTGTCGAGCTCATTGAATTGTTGTCGAAGAGACCAACATCCACGCCACTCACATGGTGGTGCGTGGTGTGCGTCGAGTCCGAGTTGCTGTTCAGCATGCCTCCGCTGCCAACAGTGTCCATGTTCGAGAGCAACGGCTGCTGGTTGTTGCTGTTGATGCTGCTCTGCGAGTTGCTGTCGTGCACCGAGGTGGGCTGGTTGTTGACAATGCTGTTGGTGCTGCTGTTGCTGCTGCTGTTGTTGCTGTCGTTGGCCGCGACAGCCAGCGTTGACGAATCATTCGAATTGGCTGTTTCGTTCAGTATGCTGCTCAGATGATGCGAGGGTGTTGGCGGTGTGGGCGTGGCTGGTTGCTGTTGCAACTGCGCCTGCTGTTGAGCCTGCTGCTGCTGCTGCTGTTGTTGTTGCTGATGTTGCTGCTGCTGTTGCAGCTGTGGTATGGGCGAACTAACATGCGCTGGCGACATTGTTTGCTGTGTTGCAGCTGCAGTTGCTGCTACTGCAGCAGCTGTTGGTGCTTGCTGTGTATCTCCCAGTATATTGGCAAATGCATCAAATTGCTGCTGATGCTGCTGCTGTTGTTGCTGCTGCTGTTGTTGTTGCTGCTGCTGCTGTTGCTGCTGCTGATTGCTGCTCTGTTGCTGCGCATAGTTGGGCAAATGTTGCTGCTGCAGCGGCGACTGTTGCTGATGTATGGGTGATTGATGCTGCAGCTGCTGTGGCTGCTGTGCCTGCAACTGTTGCTGCTGTGGCTGCTGAGCTGTGCTGGCCTCCAGCGAAGGCTGCTGCTGCTGCTGCTGCTGGTGATGCGCCGCAGAGCTCAGATGATGCATGCTGGGCAGACTCTGCTGATGCAGCGGGGAGGACGCCATCTGTGCGCTCAGTTGCGCCTGCTGCTGATTGCCACCGACAATATCGTTGATGGAATGCTGCAGTTGCTCATTCAGTTGCTGCTGCTGCTGCTGTTGTTGTTGCTGCTGCTGCTGTTGTTGCTGTTGCAGCACTGGTGCTGGCGGTTGTGGGGGCGGTGCAGTGGGCGCTGTTTGCTGTGGTTGCTGAGTGGGCACAGAGACCGGCACGGGCACGGAGACAGGCACCGGCACGGGCACGGGCACCTGTTGCCCCATACTCTGTCCGTACATGCTCAGCTGGTGCTGATGCTGCTGGGCTGCAGCCGCCGCTGCTGCTGCTGCAGCTGCCGCCTGTTGTTGCTGCTGTTGTTGTTGTTGCTGTTGCTGTTGCTGCTGCAGCAGCGCGTTCGCTTGTGCCTGTTGTTGCGCCTGCTGCTGCGCCGCCTGCTGTTGCGCTTGAGCTTGCTGCTGCGCTGCCTGTTGCTGAGCCGCCGCCTGCTGCTGCTGTTGTTGCTGCTGCTGCTGCTGCTGCTGTTGTTGCTGCTGCTGCTGTGGCGGTGGCTGTTGTGGCGCCTGCTGTTGCATTGCCGCCATGTGCGGCGCGCCCCATTGCTGATGGTGCTGTGGAGAGGGTGAGGCGGGCATGCGTGGTCCTCCCATGACCGCAGCGCTGCGATACGATGAGGGATAGTCCATGGGCGGCAGCCCATGCGCCTGTGTGGGCATAACCATTTGTTCGAGTGCTTGCAGCGTGTTGACCACAGGCGGAACAACGCCGCCGGCTGCCACACTGCTGACTGGGACCTTGGCATTGCCGACTGTGGCTGAGCTCGGTGGCTGCGCTCTGGGCGAGGGCAGACCCACCATGCCTTGGATGCTATGCTGGCTAGGCGAATTGACCTGCTGCTGCTGCTGTTGCACCTGCTGCTGCTGCTGCTGCTGGGCTGTTTGTGGTGGCTTGGCGGGCGATACGCCGGGCCGCGGCGACATTTGCGGATGCGGCGACATTGTCGGCGGGCGCGGCGACATTTGTGGCGAAAGCTGTGGAAATGGTGCACGATATTGGGGCGAGGAGTTGAGCTGAGCGCTGCCCTGATGCTTGCTGCTGGACATGTAGGGCGGCGCACTCTGCTGCTGTTGCTGCTGTGCCTGTTGCTGCTGCTGTTGTTGTTGTGCCTGCTGTTGCTGCTGTGCCTGCTGCTGCTGCTGATGATGGCTGCCATAGCTGGGCGGCATGCCCATGTGCGGCGGCGGCAACACAGCGCCTGGCAGCTGCTGCTGCTGCATTAGGCTCACGTGGTTCGGTTGCTGCTGCTGTTGCTGCGCCTGCTGCTGCTGCTGGGTCTGCAACTGTTGCTGCTGTGCACTGGCTATATGTGAGCTGGGATGCGCACCCAACTGCGCAGCCTGCTGCTGCTGCGCGGTTAGATGATGCGACGGCGGCGCTGCTCCGGGCACGTGTTGTCCATAGGCGCTCGCCTGATCCAGTGCCGCATGGCCGTAGCCCACATGCTGCGGAGCGCCGCGACCCGGCTGATGTTGCATCGGACTGCCGTAGGGACTGTGCGCGTATGCCTGAGGTGCCGCCGGCTGTGCTGCTTGAGCCGGCGCACCTGGATACAGCGGATGCTGCCCGGGCGCTTGTGGATAGTGCTGCGGCAGTCGAGCCTGCTGCTGGCTCTGCTGCTGCTGCTGTTGTTGCTGCTGCTGTTGCTGTGGCGTGGATGGCTGCTGTTGTTGCTGCTGCTGCTGTTGCTGTTGTGGTGCCAGGCTGCCGTAACCACTGGCGCCCAGGGCACCCATCATGTTCTGCTGTGCCCCGTACGGCACCAGCTTCTGCTGCTCCTGTTGTCCATAGGCGGGCATATGTTGGCGATAGGCGCTGGCATTGCTCTGACGCTGCTGCTGCGTCGGCGGCGCTGCCTGCGGATGTCCGTAGGCGCCTAGACCGGCACCGGGATATGCGGCCGCTTGACCCGGCACAGATGGCGCTGCACCCCAGCCGCTTAGATCAGCCATGCCGACGCCCATGGCCGCGTGCTGATCGGTGGGCCCCAGCCCGTAGAGATTCTCCGCCGTTGGCTGGTACGATGGATATTGTGGCTGCTGCTGTAGCGGATGCGGCGCCCGATGACGCGGCGGATAGCCACCGGGCGGGCCCATGGCTCGAGGATTTGCCGCTGCGGCAACGGCTGCTGCGGCGGCCGCATCATAACGGTAATAGGGATCTCTGTAAGCGGATAATGAAATTATTTGAATTTAGCATTAGTTGAAAATGAACAAATGTGGCGCAAGAATTTAAAGAAATTAATTATTAATAATATTATTTACATCTAAGCTAATTCTTTATCTCTAATCTAATTCTTAATCTCTAATCAATTATCTTTAAAACTACATTTGAGGAATAATTCATTAATTCAAATATTGTGATAAATCATTATAAGCAGTTACTGCATTCGTATTCATTATTACATTCATAATAATTATCGTTTTAAATATACATATGAATTCTAATATTGCATTATTCTAATTATTATAATTGCCTATAGTCTATCATCTACAACATTGTCGCTAGTATTAAAATAATTATTTGCATAATGAAATAATTCTGAAATTGATCTCATTATCAATATTATTATCATCATTTTGTAGCCTTTTTTTTATCATTATTAATAACACAATTTTATTTTGTATAATAATTTGTTAGATGTTGGGTGGTAATGCATCATTATTATTACGATGATTATTAAAATAATTATTAATACTATAACAAAATTGATTTAAATAATATATTATTAAATATGTATTATAATAGTTAAATATTTAACAACCAAAATACTAATGATAATACAAAATTCTTATTCAAGAAAATAAAATATAAATCTAATAGCACTAACAAAAAAGAATTTGTTTATAGATAGATAAATAGATATAATAGATACATATTATTGTAATTAATTATTTGCGTACTTTTCCGATTTATTCTATTTAGTGTATTTGACCCTCACCCACAACTAACATACCCCATTTTCATAGAAACAAACATTTTCTAGCTCCCACATATACATACATGTGGAGAAAAAACTCGATGAAAAACTCACCCTTGATGATTGCCGTGAAACATATTTTGTGCATTTCCATCCATCAGATTTTTGAAACGCAGCGCACACAGAAATGTCCCGTTACGTGCGTCAAAGGACGCAACGCTGCGTTTTAGGTTTGGTCGTCGATTGGCTTAATTTTGATGCCGATCTCTGCGCGTGGCAAGGCTATACCTGATGGGAGGGGTTGTGCTGGTGTTGTTGGGGGTATGTCTACGGTCTCGCAGGTTGTGGTGCGTCCTGCTGCGATGACGTTGACTCATTTAACCACAATGCACTGTGAGAAAAACCTCTGTCTAAATGTCAACTTGAAATTATTGGTCGGGTTTTTCTTCGTTCTCTTCTTTTGATTTGTTGTTAAGTTTGTTTTCTAACTACTAAACTTAATTACAGCTTTTAGATTTTTGTTGTTGTGGAACGTCTTCCGTTATATTTATAAATATCTATATATATTAATATATGTTATTATCTTTTGTTTTCTTTTATAGTGTATACACATTTGTGTTTGTCCTTTTTGTTGTTTCGCACACTTCATGGCCGACCTTTGACATATTCGCAGTGAAACGTTCGCTCACAGCTGTAGAGATAACAAAATGTTCGATTAAATATAAAAAAGGCTTGGTAACATAACCTAAAAATGCCTAATGCCTAAACTTTTGCGTAAAACGGTAAATTAACGGGCTATATGTATATGTATTGAGCGTATTTCTATAAATGCAGAATCTGTAATGAAAAGAGACAAGGATAAGCGGTAATTAGTAAATAGTTTTTTTTAATGAAGATTTTACATTTTATATATACTATATATAGTAGCTATGCTTAAATTGCTGTTGATTCCACTTCAACTTTTAAGGGGAAAAGCTATACGCTTATGGATTTCATTGTTTACACATACAACGTACAGTTTGACCCCCTAAACATTTGAGTGTTTTGTTCACATTTGTTAAAATATCTTGTGAATCTTAAAAGCTAGGCTGTACCCAAATACCATCCCCCAAAAGACGTAAGACATAAGCCGTGAAACGTAAGACGTAACAAAAGAAGCTGCTAACGAAACTGAGCTGTGAAAAGTGTTGACGAAAAAGGGACACAAAAAGGGAGAATGAAGAGAGTGTTGGCAATTAATGAGGCGTGGATTAAGACTAGTTGTTCGCCTCAAAGTCCCCACCCCCACCCACCTCAAATCTTTTTTGGATGCTGTTACGAATTTTATATGATTTCGTTGTTGTTGCTGTTGTCCTTGTGTTGGTGGTGGCGACATCTTTGCTGTGAGAAAAAACAATGCCAACTCTATCGATTTTTCGCATTGTCTGCAAAGGTTTAGCCCCAAAAAAAAAAAATCCAAGCAACCTAAAGTACCAGCGCAGCAGCAGCAGCAGCAAAGAGCATGACGAAAAAAAGTAAAACAACATAAAATAAAGCACACCAAAAAAAGGTAATGCGGGTGTTGCCCGTTGAGCAGCGCGTTTTTTTGAGGGGTTGAGCAGCAATGCCCAAAAGATATGCAAATGTTGCAAACAGCAGCCAGCTAAAAGGAGCGGGGCATCTGTACAACTGTATGTGTAATATATATATATATATATGTGTGTGTGAGTGTAAATGGAAAGTGTATGCCAAGTGGAGAGATACAGCGAGACAAAACTACAGTTAACGGAATAGTACATACGAGAGATATGCAAGCAAGTCAAACGCATGCTAAGCTACAGTGGTTGCTAGTTAATGAAACTAGAGTGAAACTAGACTTGAAATATTACTATATTTGAGATGAGCACACCAAATATTGCATTTAACTGAAAAAAATACATCAATAGACAAGGCTTCCGTTGTTTTTGAATTTATTAATTATTATTACTGCAAATTCGCATTCACTAAGCAAATAAATTAATAAATTTGATTGAATGTGAATTTTATTATTATTATTATCATTACAAATGAAACGTTTAACTCTACAAATAAAATGTTGCATTTAAATTAGCAAGCAACCACTGTGCAAAATATGCAGTTAGCAAGTCAAGCACACACACATGCACACATATAGAGGTACCAAATTGCGCTCTATGTGTACTGTTATAAATACGTGCGCACATATTTCGCTTGCCAGACAGTCAGTCAGCCAACCACAGTGGCAGCACTAACTCACTCACACTCACACACACGCATGCACATATACAAATATCAACAGCCATCACACAACACACACATGCATCTGAAAACTTATGTAGAGTGCATGACATGAGCGCTAAGCGCGCTTAGCCCATGCCTTCAGCTCACTCTCCCACTACCAAATGCCTGCGCCTCCTTCGCCACCTCCTCTTTCCTGCTCGAACAACACCAGCTCGCGCCCTCTCTCTTTTACCCTCTCTTGGCTTCTTCGCACTCGCACTCGCGCTCATTGGGCAATCATTTAGTCAGTCGTCGTCGTCGTTGTTGTTTGTTGTTGTTGTTTGTAATCAATTACATTTTGCTTTTGCAATTTCAGCTATTTATTTATTTAGTTTCAGCTTTTTTTTTCTCCATTATTATTAGTCGAGCTACTTGTGTATGTGTGTACAAAGTTTGTATCTAGCAGATAGCTATGTCTATACGTACGTGTGTATATGTCTCTGTATACATGTATATGTCATTGAATTTACGTTTCAAACTGTTTTTTTTTTTTTTTTTGCCTCTTCTTTTGCTACGTTTTCGGCGTCGCCAAGTAAATGCAAAAACAATAAACTAAAAGCAATAGTAATATGTAAAGCAACAACAACAACGACAAAGCATCTGAAAACATTTTTTTTTGTTTTCTGTGAAATTATGTGTGTGTATTGGCGGCTATGCGCGCACAACTGTACTTTTGTTTTAAATAAGCGAAAAATCGATTAAAGGTGATAATAGACAAGCAAATTTCTGTGTGTGTCCAACTCTTGGTGACGACAAACGTCGCCGCTGACCCGACGCAGCCGCGACGCGACGCGCGCTGCTGCTTCTACTTTGCCCTACTGTTGTTGTTGTTAGAGACTGAGACGTAAGCAGCAGCATTAGCTTTGGCTATGTTTTATTTTTATTGCGGGGCATTTCATTTGCGGCGAGTGTTCCAAGTGTTGATATTGTCAACCATCGATAGTCAAATTATGCTTGCTATCGATAACGGAATGCAAATCGTATCAAATCTTGATCTCAATTAGAGAAGAGCAGCTCAAAACATAAGCAGCAATTGAAGAATCTTCAACACTCTTCAATCAACAACAAAAACTAGCTATCAAATTATATGATTAAACATTTTGCAACAACAATGCGAGCGCACAGGCAACCAAAGTTCATTCACCTTTACCAAAAAATAATAAAAATAAAAGAAACAACAAAACAAAAACCAAAAAACTTTGTGTAGTTAAAGCTTTGCTTTTGCCTTTGCTTTGGCTTTGGCTTAAAGCTTGCGGCATTCGTGTTTTGAAATGTAACCAACATTTGACCCATAATAAATAATAATGGCATGAGAATGGAATGTGCAGAGTGTTTGTTTGTTGTGTCATTCCGGCAGAATGGAAAGAAATGCGCCTCATACATATGTATGTATATGCCTGTGTGTGAATGTTTGTGTGTGTGTGCACATATTGCTCTCTAATGGCAATCAAGTCAAGTAGTCAAGTGGCTTTTGGCTTGTACGCCGCGCACTAACAGTAACTAAAAAGTACAGTTGGTTTTTGTAAGAAAAGCAACAACAAGCAGCAACAGCAACAGCAGCCAGTCAGCCAAAGAGGCAGATGATGGGTGCTGCGCGCATATACACGCACACATGCATACATAAAAATGGTAATAAAATAGGTAAAGTTACAGCCACACACAGTTGTTTCTTCTTTGCTTCGTCTCTTATTTTGGTTGAGCTAAAGAGCAGCAAATACAGTAACGTATATTACAGCACGTCGCAGCTTTTTGAATATGTAACGGTGCATTTATGACGTGCCTGAGCCTGTGCCTGGGCAATAATTGGGTGGCAACACCGATTGTGCTGGCGTTGCGATTCGTCATGAATAGAGCAAGAAATATCAAAACCTCAAGTTTTGACGCCATGTTTCCCGCTAGAATTTGCCGAAAAAGACAAAAAAAAAAAACGTGTAGAACAAATGACCATAGCCTGACCCGATTATCGAGTTAAACTGTTGTATAAAATTTGCACCTGGACCTAAACCGGATAGTGCCATTGTGTATGCAATAACAACAACAACAACACTAAACACATCCGAACTGAAACAAACTTGCAAACCCACAAGAGAGCGCTACGCTACAAAACGAGAGACCGAGCGAGCGAGAGAGCGCGCGAACGAGAGGCAATGGACGAGAGCATGTTAGCTGAGCGCCGGCTGAATGAGAGCGAAGACGAGAGAGAGGGAGAGCAGAAACAGAAAGCAATAGCGGCGAGTAAAAAGAAGAAAACAAAGAAGGAAAAGAAAAAACAGCCCAACAAGTGAAAAAAACGTAACAACAAAAACATGTGGCAAAAGCATAGCGTGCGCTAAAGAGCCAGCCAAAAGCGAAATTACAAAAGCAAAGCGAGTATATCACGTGCTGCCGCTACCGCTGCCGCTGCCGCTGCCACAGCCGATGGCACAGGCCGAACAGAATGGGCAGAGACAGCAGCAGACGTGGGTTGGGGTGGGTTTTTGGAGCAACAGCAACGGCAACGGCAACGTGTGCCGGCCTTTGGCGGCAGAGACTGAGCGAGCGAGCAGCGACGCAAACTGAGGCGCCAGCCTCATGTTAGACAGATGGCCGGCAATGTTGGAGGCGACTGAACGACAGACTGCGCCGTCGGCGTCAGTAGAGTCGGCGGCGGCTTTCGTATAGAATGAGCGTTGAAAAGAGACGACCAGTTGACAAGAGCAGTCAAAACAAAAATGCGAATGAACTGAACGAAAAGCAGGGCACAATAGACGAGACGATTACTTTTTGGAGTTGGTAGAAGAAATTGTTGCTGTTGTTGTTGTTGTTGTAGTTGCTATTACTGTGAATGCTTGTTAGTTTGATAAGTTGGGTGGTGCTGCAGATGGTGACATGGAAAAGGAGGCGGGTGGGTTGAAAAGCGAAATCTGGCAAAACGCCTGCGACCGTCTGTGAAATGTAACGAACGCGCGTCGCGTAGATACAACAAAAAGAGTGTATAGAGCAGCAGCAGCAGCAGCAGCCATGATGGCGAGAATGGCCAGCGACAGCGATGATGACGAAGACGGCGACAAGTACAAAACACGTATTAAGTATGCATGTGCATGTGTATGGGTGTATGGGTGTATAAGACTGGCTGTGTTTCTCGCTGTGTGTGTGTATTGGAGATTCGCATGATTCGTGCAAATTCGCCGCATAGTTGCCCTGCTGCGGCGGCGGCTGCCGTTGGTATGTTGTTTGCTCTTGTTGTTGCTGTTGCTATTTTATTCGCATATCGTTTAAGTACGCGCGCGTATGAGTGTGTGTGTGAGTATCGTATCTCTGTGCTCTGTCATGGGCATGGGCTGCGCGTGTATTTGCCTGCGAATGGGTATGCGTACACGTATATGTGTGTGTTTGTGTGTTGGTGCGTTGGGGTCGTCGTCGTTCATATGTTTTTGCTTGTTGTTTGGTCGGTTTTGATTCGGTTTTGGATGGATGATATGCTTTGGCTTTGGATCGCCGCCTGCTTGCCTTCTGCTGTTGCTGCCTTTCATCCATCTATTCGCGCTCTCCATTTGCCGTTTTGGCTCTCGCGAACGACGACCGGTCATGCATGAGTGTGGACTGTAAGTGCATGTGTGTGTGTGTCGCTGCGCTCTTGCCGTGTTTCGATGAATTGTTTGCTTCAGTTTATGCCGTTGTCGCCATAGTCCAAGTGATGCGACGTCATCATCGCCCCGTCGCTCTCATTTGCACGTTAAGCTAAGCGAGTTGTAGTCTTTTTTTTTATTATTACTTTAATTTTTCGCCGCAGCAGTGATACCCAAAAACTCAAATGCCAGGCCGGCCTTTGCTCACTCGCTCTCTGTCTTCCTTCACTATTTCTTTCTCGCTCGTTCAGATGCAGTCGCTGTTGCTGTTGTTGTATCACGTTGTTTTGGGGGCGCGTGTGACGTTTATTTTATTATTCTTTTTTTTTTTACAACTTTTTTTTGGTCGGCCGTCCAAGCAAAGAGTTGATTGAAATTGTTTCAGCTTGCCTGTATGTGTGAGTGTTCGTTTTCGCTCAATTCGTTTACTTGTGTGTGTGCGTCTGTGTGGGTTTGCTCGTTCATTTTTATTTGCTGGCTGAGTGACTGACTGCTGGCAACGGCCGGCTTGTGTGTGTGTATATGTGTGTGCTTGTGCTTGTGTGTATCTGCTTTTGGTTAAAGATACATAATTATTTCTAAAAAGCATTTTCTGCCTTGCCATTGTTGTAAATTTCTCGAAATTTCACGTTTCGCCTGTGCATATCATTCGCATTCGTATTTGAAATTTCATTACCGCACCCAACTTAATTAGTTATAATTATAATATAAAAAGTACCCGTGCCTAGGTATAGGCTGTTTGTATGTATGTAAATATTTATATATATGTGTACGTATCTATGTATGTGTACGTATAGATTTGTATATTTGCTGTTTCACTCACCTCTTTGTATCTGCTTCTGGGGGCTGCTAATCCGTTGGACTTTTTGCGTGTTTATTGCTTTGTAGTACACATTGAATACTTTTTTGATTATGCATTCGTTTCTGGTTGTTTTTTTTTTTTTGTTTGCGTTTGAGTGTTTGCCCGATTGACAGACCGCGGCGTCGAACCTATCGATAGTTATGCATGCAGCGCCATTTGCCTTTTACGCGACATCGACAACTTTGAAATGTGAATGATGACGAACAATGACGGATGGCGAATGCGAATGCGAGCAACAACAAGAACAACAATGCTAATTCGAGTGTAGATACACACATATATATATATAAGAAGCAACACATGCGAAATAATAATTGTAGCACAATTGCACCAACAACAACTATGACTGCTACTACTACTACAACAATAACAAAGTGAGCAGAAGAGAAAGAAAAAACCGACGGCAATAGCAGAAGTAGTAACTGAAACGGACGCGGCGAAAACTACAAAAGCGCAACGACTGAGCTGAAGCTGCTGCCCATTGCTGTTACTTCTTCTTCTTTGTGCTGCTGCTGCTGTGACTTGAGCAAATAGCACACACACACACACACATACATACATACATACATACCAATGCAATCACTCGCACACGTACTCACACTCACGCTCGATAATTACAATTAAACATGATATACGCACAGCACTCGGCTATTGGGGCCGGCCTTCTGTCACCGCCGCTGCCAGAGCTAAACACAAAGAAATCGATAGATATTGCTGAAAAGAAATAATAGGCGTATGAGCGGCAGACGTGAAAACGTTTGTGTAATTGGAAAAGGAAAAGCAGCCGTGGCAACGGATTGGGGCACAGAAAGAAGTCATGAAGAGCACATTTTTTTACAGCCGCCACAGACGAGGCGACTGCTGCTGTCATCAGTGTTGCCACCTTGTGAGAGAAGACAAAACAAACAACAAAAAGAAGCTAATTTTTAGTGAAAAAAATAAATGATTTTGATTTAGATGTACGTAAACAAATGCTTGATTTTTTCTGCTATCACTTTGCAATATATTTAATATATATTTGCATATTTTTAAAGTAAATTTATTTATTTATTTTTTTTGGGTGGTCAATTGGCTAATCCTTAACTATTAATAACATCCCAATGTGTGTAAACAAATGCTTTAGCTCTTGCTGCTGCTTTCATTTTGCAATATATGCAATATATTTTGGCATATTTATATTTTATAATATAACAATGCAAGGTTTGAAAATTGACCGTAATAGTCGCAGCCTTCTTACTGTTACAGTTTTATCGCTCATCAGTCAGATTTTGGCGTTAAATAAGCGCAATCGGCAGCACCGCTGCTTGTCGCTGCTGATGGCGCCCGTGAGCGCAATGAAAATTTTCGCTCTCATCAATTGCGCGTAGTGCGAGAGATAGAGAGCGCGCGGATATAAACAGCGAGTGCCCCGGCTAGAAAAACGTGTGGCTGCCGCTACTGCTAGCCTATGCGTGTGTGTGTGCAAAGGAGGTAGACAAATGACAAACGGCCACAGAGCTGAGACAAATCAAATGTAGAAAATACAAATACAATGCTAAGCCCATATTAAGGGCCGGCAACAAATTCTGCTTTGTCATTGCCCACTCATACAAACACACATACACACATGGATACCGTTGCATGCAGATGTTCTCTGTTTGTCCTGCAACTGTTCAAACGCGTAAATCAGTGAAAATATATATACACGTACACATCTACACAAGCACATGAGGCACGCACTTACACACAAAGCACGAAATATGAATAGAGCCCAAAGGAACAGCAACAACAACACGGAAAATGTACGCAGCGGGGGCGCGCAGCAGCCGAACGACATGCGACACGAAAACGACGACTCGAACAAGCCAGCAGCGCACATTTGCACAGGTGTGTGCATCTGCATGCGATTGTGTGGCAACGCTGCAGCGGCGAGAGACCAATACATACACATTTCAAATGTATGCTGGCTGCGAAAATCAGTTTTTTTTTCTCTTTTCTGGGTGCTTGCAAAATCAACGCGGGACACACGCCACTCACACTAAATACAACTACAACAACAGAGTTCAGATACAAAACAAATGTAGCAAGAAGCAGCGGGCACAAAGAAATGAAAATGTAAATGGCGAACTCGCTACGGCAAATAATTACAAGCACAAATATAAGACATTTTATTGCAGTCGCACTTACACAAACACACACACGCATATAAATGCCATAAGCCCACTAAATATCTGTGAAAATGGGCGCAAATCATTAACAAGACGCCGCAAGCTGCTCTGCTCTGTCGCGGTAGAGATGCAGCGACAGCAATTACAATTTTTTGAAAATAGAAACAATAAAAATAAATTAAATAAAATTAAATAGCACCACCCTCACAAGTTAATTGTTAGCCGAAGCACACACACACACACACTCACACTCATATGCAATTGCACAAGAAAGACAAAAAGACAGGGAGGCAATAATCATTATTATAATCAAACATCATCATCAAGCGAAAATCGAGCATCGCCATCACACTCACACACACACATGCATACACGTATATACATACAACTGCACAAAACTCACACAGCGACAGATAGCGAGGTCCATTTTTAATTATACAAAAAGGTAACGAAAAAGAAGCCACTTCATTGCGAACGCATTTTAATTCACGCTTTTAACTGTATATATATTCATATATATATTCTTTTTACTTTGATTTCAATTTTTTTTTTGTCTAGCTATGCCAATTAATTAACACATACACGACACACACATATATATATATATACATATACATATATATACACATGCACTTGGCCATAATTCGGAAAAAACAATTGAACGTTGACTGCGACTGCGGCTGCTGCTGCTGCGGTCGTCGTCTCGCGAAATACATATTTCTTTTGCCGTTTTTCTCGTCGTTTGGGTTGTCGTTGTCGCCGTCGTCTTGTACTCTCGCTCTCTACTTCTTTCACATTTTTTTCTTCGTTCGAGTGTCTGGTTTTCGTTTCGTCGATTTTGAAAATCATATAACATTTGAAATACGCTCAATACTCGTTTCGTTTTTAGCGCAAATTGTTGCCGGCAACTTTATTTGCATTTTGTTATTACATTTAATTAATTAATCAACTTATTTTTGCCGTTTTACGCAAATTTTTCAGCAGCACTTTGTCAGACATGTACGCACCACATCAAAGACCTCCATTTTGTTTAGCAGCGATTAGAGATGACCGATATACGGTAGGCAGCTAAAAAGTCAAGTATTTTTTAAGTAACGATTAATCGCATTAACATGTACTTGGAAATACGTGCTACTTCTGTGCAAATTTCTGCGTGGATAGAGAAAATTGGTTGCAATTAAAGCCTATTTTATTATAGATTTAATATTCTTGTTTGGCATCTAAGGTCTAAACAGTTAAATATAAAAAATGTGCGGAAAAACGCTTCCGATAACATACTATCGATATGATAGCTGGAATTTCAAGTGCGCGCACTATGTATGACCGTATAAATTTTGAAATTCGAGAATAAACTTTGCAGCTTCGAGAATTGTATGGAAGTGTTTTTCATGTTTTAAAGATTTCATCCATTTCAATTGTTTATACGAAATAAATATACACTTTTGTTTATGCTACTTTCAGTCTTTTATTGGCTTGACTACTTTCTCTTTCTTCTGATTCTTCTTCGCTTGCTGTTTCCTTCACTAAAGTATCCATTTCATCAGCCAATTCCTCGTCACTCTCATCAGAACTGTCGGAAAATACAATTGGTCCTTTATTCTTAACAAACATGATTGTTTTGCCCAAACGGCGTGATTCGGCGCGTAAGAAAAGTTGCCGACAAAACCGATCGATTGCATTTTTGCCCTGATTTTCAGAGAGTCCAAATATGTAGGACCTGTTGAGATATAGGATATAATAGTTATGACAACTAAATAATATTATAGAGTACAGCGAAGACTTGCTTGAGAGGACTGCGTATAAGTGGGAGGACTGGTTGAGGGTAATTCATATAGTCTTCACTGTACGCTATACATATATTATATTCTTACAAATTCGCCACATCGTATGGCCCGCGTAGTTGAAATTCATGCAATGCACCGCTACTGAAGATAATATTTCTCGATTTGCCTTTGGTGCAATAGTTCTGTGCCACCTTAATCATATCCTTGCGATTATTTGAGTCTGCTATAGCCGGTGCATACTTTATCTCGAAGTACATGCCTCTTCGCACCGCAATGAGATAAGGTTTACGCTGGATAAGCAAACGAGAGCCGGCAGTTGGATCAAAGGTAATGATATCGCCATTAAAGGACGTGCAGCAGTGCTGTTAGAAGAAAACACAGACTAAATATATATAATAATAAACATTGATTTCAAACTAGATTTTCATTCAAGACTGTGTGAATTTTAAACCTGATTTGTGCTACGGCGTCTAAGCCGCCGTGTATATTCATCAGCTGTTTCAATAAATAGGGATGACAGTAGATTTGAAGTCTTATCGAAAATTGTTATTTTTCATTTATCTCAATTTAAAGTTATTTAACAAATAATAACAATAACTTCAGCTTCTGCTTGTGTTTCGAAATTTTAGCTGTAGTTTAAAATAATTATTTGAATACATTTACTATCGAGTAAGCAACATGTAAACAAAGCTTATCGATACAAAATTGCAATTTCTAAAGTGCATGGAAACCGCGACATGTGAAAAACAAGTTGCAAAGAAAGAGAAGGTAAATCAAATAAAAACACAATTCCGAGATGTAGTTGATCCACTTACCGTTAGCGCTGCTTCCGTTTTGGGTTGTCCAGCGATTAGGTTAAACTTGCGAAGATTCAACGAAACGCTCTAAAAATTGGATCATTTAAAATTATAGAATACACACAAAAAGTTAATCTCATAGCTTACCATTGCGTGCGCCACGTTTGCATCTACATATAATATAGTTATTCGCTGCAATATCTTTAACTTGTTGGCAAACTCCTTGCGTATACTGTCTATGTTGTGTGGCTCGGGAAACATTTCGGAACCACGTTTACCAGGCTCCTTTTTGCTGTGATCGAAGCTCTGGTCAATTGCTATCGTCTTGTAACCCAGTTCGACCAATTCATTGAGTATGCCACGCAATATCTTGTCATCTTTGTTGTAGGGAATGCAGAAATCGTAAAATCCATTTGTTTGCTCCATTTTCTGTTTAAGCAACAGCTGCAACCGCAAAACGTGCCCACAGCTAGAGTGGCTAACCAAAATTATCGATATTTTTCTATATCGTAAAACGAAACTTATCTTAGTCTTGCCGCTAAATTCAAAATTACGCAGTTTTATATATGGGAATGAAGCCGCTTTAAGTTAGTTTGTTGAATAACTATAAAAACAAATTTGCCCGGAAAGAAAATAGGATGATATTATTTTTAAAATAAAGCATATTATCTTTTTTATTTCACACTATTTATTATGAACATTTTCTTTTTTGTATATTGGTAGCCTTTTTTTTATTAGTAATCAGTATAATCAATTATAAATCGAAATTTACTGAGCGATGAAGCTTCACTCATTCGTTAGATTCAATTACTACCTCCACTTACTCTAGATGAAAAATGTAAATTCTTAAATAAAATAATTTATAATTTTATCCACGACTTCCACCAACTGTTGACAAATGCGAAGATATATCAAAAATCCAATCATCCGCTCGCTTTTCATGGATTGAATAACAATTACTTACAATTTAAATATGATTTATAAAGTTGAACTTAACGATAAGAACATGCATTTTTACAATGGTTAAGAAATTTTTATATATTATCTCTTTTATTTCTTTTTTTATTGAGCATATTTACCCAAAGCTTCAATTTTATGGTAAGAAATTTGTATTTCAAATGCTGTTTAGCCTTCTTAATTTCTAACGCCTTTTGCCAACCTGAAAATATGTTTTCAGATTTAAGTTATGAAATTGTAGAGAATTTCAGATGTTTTATGCTCACTTGCTTCTTTTTACTCTCAGACCGAAGAGCCCACAGATCTGTGCTTGGCGAGAACAGAGTTTAATCTAGTTTGGTTTTGCTTCGATGTACTTTCGGCTGCTTGGGCCTTCCGTGTATGAATGCTATAGAAAAGGGAGGAAATGATTAAGGATAACATGAAAAGGATGACAACTTTGACAATGTCACACTATAAAAACACTATAGTTGAAAAGCCCCGACTGACAAAATATGGCGAATATACATATACGCCCATGGGGGGCGTGGTAAACCGCAAAAGCTTATATCTCCCACAGTTTAATTGACAGCACTCTTTAACCAAATCAAAGCTCCTGATGTGAATGCCATTTACAGTTGTTTCTACACTCACACTTTGTGCCTTGTCAGTGCGTCCTTGCGGGCAAAGGACTTTCCGCAGGTGTCGCAACAATGCTTATTGTCTTCATGCGAGGCCGTATGACGCGTCAAATTATCCTTGCGCTGAAACATCTGGTTGCAGCCTTCATATTGACAGGGATAGACATTGACAGAGCCATGGGCAGTTCTGGAAGGGGAATATCGATTAGCGCCTCCACACTTTATTTCAGTGATTCATTTACTTACTTGAAATGCCGTCGGAGCGATTCGACTGTTGTGAACATTTTCGTGCAATTGTTGCAGCCCCACGAAACAATGGGTGCATCGGGATCGTTCTCCTTGTGCGTGTTTAAATGTCGTTTCAATGCCGCCTTATACCAGAAAGCCTTACCACAGCCGGGCTCGTTGCATTTGAAGCTCTTATTTGCATCCATTTGAAAATTCTTTGCATTTATTTTGCGTTTCTCAGCAGCAAATGCCAAGTCCAGTTCCACGTAAAGAAAAGTAAAACTAGCTTATGCTGCACGTTATTTGGAATCACTCAATAGCAGGATTTGTCGCTAGCTCTATTGCCGTTTTTGATTATTATTTAAAATTGGTTACAATTTAATGAATAAATTCATTTGTTATTTTTTTTTGTCTTGACACAGATGTGTTGATTGATTGAATACAAAATTGTTCAGTCGGAATTGGTTCACGAGCCTGAACCACTGATTATTTAACAGAGGTGATTTGTATTACGTTATCGGTAAATTATCGAAAAATACTAAAAATACTATGTACTAAAATATTTCATGAAATAACGAAGATAATAAATAAAAATACTAATTAATGTATACTGAGCAGAATTCAAATTTAACGAAAGTACCGGCGATACGATTAGTTCAAGTTAAAATAAACACAATATGAGAATTGCAATAAAACATTATAATGAAGAATGACTAAATGAATGAAACAATTTAATTATAAATGAATGCCAGTTTAACTAAGTACTTGTTTAAGTACTTTTTGAATGAATGAGAAACTTTTAATATTTTGTTTTTGGTTTTGTTTTTTGTTATGTTTTTGTATTTTTATGTGCACAGCAAGGCATAGGAACAAGAGCACGCATAATTTCCTACATTAGACAGTACAAATTCACTACGATCCCTATTCCGATATCAAGAAACACTATCAGCTAATGGTGGGTCGTCACTTTCCATTATTGTTGGACTCGCAGCTGAAACAATGGAGACGGAATCATTGTTATTTTCTTGCTTGCAATGGGCTTCGAACTGCTTAGCCTTGGCGCGTCGTGATTTGATGAGTATGCCATGTCCGGGACAATCACAATCATCCGCATAGCATTTGTCTCGGCAGCAAATTCGGCACAGACGAAATTCACACTTGGAGCCCAGTGGATTGGCGCACTGCTCGCAATATTCGAGGTGTCGTTCGTGGCGCAGCTGGCACTGTGCATCCGTTTTGATAGGGCGTCGCTGGCGACGTCTCAGCTTCTTCATGCGCTTCCTGGATATTTCATTGCCAGCATTGTCAAAATATTGTCGCTTGATGCGATTCGGATCGACGGCTTCGCGTTGTTTTTCAGCGATTTTCTGGCGATGTGATTCAGGTGAGGCGCGGATATAGGGCTGGCACAACCATGGCTGCAGCATGGGCAACTGTAAGCCCAGAGAAGGGATCAGTAATTCGATAGCTCGTAAGTGATACTAATAATTGATATCTTACCTCTTCTATTCCCCCCGCACTCATATTCAGTTCCATTTCTTCCGGTTCATATTTTGCCATTCCCGTATGATATGGCTCATATTTCTCCTGCACCTTGGCCACAACGGCATGGAATTGAGTGAGCTGATTGCCTGTTGCCAGCTGTTCCCTCAATTGGGAATTGGAACGTATATTCATGCTGCAAGGGATAACGATTAGAATAAAATCTATTTACAGTCGACATTATTTATGCTTACATATGATGAAACAGCTTGAAGAGATGTCCGCGTATATAAGACGTGGGACAGGGATATTGATCAACGAATTCTAAGTACTCCTTGGCCATTTGCCAGACAGGTGGTGCAATGCCCTGAAAGATTGCTGGATTATGCAGATTGCCCTCAGCGCTCATTACCCCATCAACGCCCGTCTCGTCCAGACAGCGATGCACATCATCCAAGCCCAAAATATTGCCATTGGCAAACATGGGTATCTTAATATGCTCTCGCACATCCTTGATGTAGCTCCAATCAGCAATGCCTGTCAGAGGTCCTTTCTGCTCACGAGTCCGTCCGTGGATGGTCAGCAACTGACAGCCGGCAGCCTCCAGCATTTTGGCATATTGAATTGTCTTCTCGCGATCCTCGAATCGGCGTATTTTACAAGTCACCGGCACAGAGAGTTTCTCATGCAGCGTTCGCACTGCAATTGAATTGAATTTAAATATAATGGTTTCTAATACATGTATTCATAATATACTTACCAATGTCTGTGAGCAGCTCCCATTCGTCCTGCAGAAAGGAGCCGTAGTGTCCACGCTTGGCAATCGCCTGTGGACAGCCTAGATTGATGTCCACAGCATCGCAATGATCTTGTGCAGCTAAAGCAGCCTCCAATATTTGCTGTGGATCGTTACCGCAGAATTGTATAATCAATGGTCGATCCTCGGGACAGGTTTGCAGGGCATCCTTGCGATACTTCAGATCGGTGGCAAACAGATTCGCATGATACATGGGTGAATAGCAGAGCTGTGCCCCGTAACGCCGGCAGAGCATACGCCAGGCCAATTCACTTTGATCCACCATTGGAGCAACCACATAGCGTGGTGAGCCCAACACCCGGTGATAGAAATCATAGCCAGCCAGCTTGGGCTCATGGATTTCATTTACCATTTCCGGTTGCTGCAATTTCAATGCAATGAGAAAAACATTCTGATTTGAAAATCAAAGACACATTTTAAAGCTATTTAAGATATTCTTAATACAATTTTGCCACATATCTGGGAGAGCTTGTATATTGAAGTCAATTATGTTTCTAAAAATTAAGTTTCCCTATTTAAATGAATTTGTTTAAGTACATCGATAAACGATAGCACTTACTTGCACATCTCTCACATTCTCATTTGGAGCGAACTTTCATATCGATCCTTTGAGCAATTATCACACATGCTGCTCACATACTTGTTATTGCCCGCGGCGAATTCATTTTTTACTGTTCTTTGACATATGAAGCGGCGTAATTGACAAGCTTTTGCACTGCTGCGCGCAATTGTGAACAAGCCGCTGGGAGTAATTTTTTTCCAACTGCTACACACAAGCTAATTAGCGGCACATTAGCTTTTTGCTAAAATATATAAAAATGGAAGAGAAAAACCTAGGTGCGGCCGTGCGGCAGCAGTTATACAAAGCGTCAAGCCAAATAAATTTACAAGGGCCACCAACTGTGGGCGGTTTTGACGAATTACTTTAAGTTCGCTCCAATTACGAGTGCATGTATGTATGTGTAAGAATGTATGTACATACATACATATGTACGTTTCTCTGTGTGTGCGCGTGTGTAACAGTGCCCCGAACAGAGGCCGGCTTGTATTTTCACTTTCCACACGATGAATTCGCTTTCGAGCGAACCGCGTGCAGAGCAGCGTTAACAAAATGCGCTTAAATTCAGTTACGAGGCAAATGCAACAATAACTAACAATGAAGCACTAATTGAGTTATGCTACGAGTTGCATGCACTTGCAAGTTGCAACGCGCTACGCAGCTTAACGAATTTTCGATTCAGCCATCGAAACCCATCAGCAGACACCGCGGCAAAGTTCGTTTAAGCCGCTTAAAGTAGTTACACAAATATGCACTGTAGCAAATTTTAAGATTATTAATTTTTTTATTGCAAATAAACATGAAAAATAAAAATTTTACATTATCACAAATCTAGGTTTTTATTTGTATATATTAAATTTTGAACAAAATCCCAATTTATGACAGCGTACAGAGAACTTGCATAACTGTAAATCTGTTACGCCGTGCTACATGCACACACAACAAGAAAAACTTTTTATATTGAAAGTTTACTGACCGGAATTGGCATTGCAATATTATCAATGGCAGCAGCAAGTTCTGCTCATCCTTTGCCGCCACTCTGCGCGTTAGAGCGGAGACTTTTCGTTCAATAAGCCCAAATGAACAGAAGCTCCAGTTCCTGAACAACTACTAATATGCTGCGTTCAGCTTGAAATGAACCTGTTGTGAACGCAGCGACTCAACTCTAATGCGTGCCAAAGCTTGTTCGTCTTTTGCAACTTCTAGAAATTTTCGCAAGTTGAAAAGTTTTTCTTTTTTCTATTTTTATTTATTTTTCGCTGACAATGCAAGGCATTTGCGTGTAATTAAAGTTCTTAAATGTAGCAAAAAGTTTTCGCTTTCGGCCGGAAATGTAAATTGCATAAATATTGCGAATAGGCGGCGCTGGGCGTGCCGTGGCAGCCATGACAGATGTTGGCTGTGTCATAATTATGCCCAAATTACGAGAAACTTGCCCAGAGGCAACGACAACATTTAGCCTAAGGGGGCGGCGGCATTGTTGTCTGTCTGTGCTGCACAAATGGGCATTTCGCAATTAAAAACTTTTCCGAAAAGCCAGACGCTACAGAGGGAAAGAAGAAGAAGCGAAAGAGAGAGAGGGAGTACAACTGCAACAAGAGGAAACTTGTAAAACATTGTTTTCAAAGGAGCAATCGCAGGCTGAAATCATTCAAAACTTTTTCTTGAATGCTCTCTCGCTGGGTTGGAAGAGCAGACTATGTGAATATAATCAATATACATATAATAAATTTAATCGATAAAAGTTGAAAGTGTAGAGAAGAGAGACAAGCTTATAGATTGAAGCCTAGAGTATAAAAAATATATATATTCAAAGTTTCATATATTATTTTAATGTAAAACCCCTAACCAAGATTTTCCATAGTCTGGATAAGAAAAGATTTAGTTTATTTCATAGATCTTTTACCTTTGTTTCAACTCTTTTTAACCAAAAACAAAAGAAATCCTCCTCAACTTCCCACAAAGCACTTCTGAAGCACAACATAACCTCACTCCTCTATAGAGTATCTGCAGCAATGTAATTGCTTGAACCGCAAAAAGTAACCAAAACAAAAACCCGTAATGCACTTTACTTGAGTAATTAGAAGACCGCAGATGAAGCCAGCCAAGAGCCAAGTTTATTTATTATAGCCAAAGTTTTTTAAGTCGATTCCTTTCGATTTCCGACGCATCAAACATGAAAACTCAAATCGAGAGCAGACAGCAGCATCGAGATAATTAATAATTTCCGCACTAATTAAGACGAAAATCAATATCAAATATATAACTAGAGAGAATATATATACTTGTATTTGTAGCTACATTCAGAGAGCGTGCCTGGCTTTCACTCGATAACAAATGGACAAGCCACATACATACACACACACACACACAGCCACACTGTGTTTGGGCAGTCAACCATGGACATTGGATGCTTTATCATGACCATATAGCCACGCCCACTTTAGCTCCCCTAAACAATTCGTTGCAACTGCTGTTGCTTTTGTACAGCTATTCCCAGACTGCACAAAAAAAAAAAACTCCCCTTTACACCCGCTGCAAATCATATTTATACTTCACTTACACAGTGCAGAAGAGTATATTTGATTACGATTTTGAATTATATTTTTGGGACAGTGTATAAACTGGACTTGAGCTCAAATTATTATTATTACAAAAATCTTTGATATTATATCTGGGAAAGAAATTACAAGGAAATTACAATAATAATATACTCAAAGAGTGATTCGTCTTCAGTCAGCACTCTCAATTTATAAACAAACATATTTTTAATTTATTATGGCACGCGTTCGTTCTGCAATTTTAAAAATGGTCTCAACTCGCTAATCGCAGCGGGCCACAGCATTGTTAATTCAATGCTCACCTTTCGCTCACCTTTCGCTCACCTTTCCATAAAATATGTAAAGGAAAAACCAAAGGCGAATTGGAAAAGCAAACAGCGTTGGCCAAGTGCTGAATCAATTTTTTTCAATCATCATAAAATGTAGGAAAAAATACAGTGTTGGCTGTCGTAAAAAACAGTGTTGCTCAAGGCTTTTGAGCGCTGCTTAAACAAAGCTTCAATAATTCTCTAATTTACAGCTGCAGTGGGACATAAGCAACAAAGTATGGACAAACCTAAAAGTAAAACGAAATGAGATAGAAAAAAAAAACTTTAAGGCACGACCAACATATATCCTGTAGGCTTACAATCTCATTAAAGATATTTGATGCCAAAAATAAATAAAACTTATTAAGTTTAATGTACAATAGAGTACTTTTACTACTTTGAGAGAGGCTTGCTGTACTATAAGATACCCTAGAAATATATTAAAATATTAAGCTGACTTTATGCCCATACAAAAGATAAATATTGAATTATAGAACTACTGCTTAGAGACTATTCTGAAACAGAGTATGCTCGACGGCATGACACCCTGGAAGAACATAAAGAATATACTTAAGCAAAGTAACTCAATTACAAAATACCTCGAGGTACTTTGAGGTACATTGAGGTATTTACTAAATAGTTCAAGTCTTTTAGGGTATGTTGGGATACATTGAACTTGCATGAAAGTCTATATTTTTGCTTCACATAGATTGCTCAATTACAAGTATATTGTTTATACATAGAGCCATTCATCATGCGTTGATTGCACTGCTAAATACCCTCGAAATATATGTATAGAAAATGCTCAAAAATAAATCCCTTCTGCCAACACTTTCAACTATCGATAACTATCGTTGCAATCAGTATACTCTCGTTTGAGGAATATGAATTACGGGATATTCGCATTACTGTGGCTTTCAACCAAAGGCTTGACCGTCTCAATCGCTGCTGCCACGCCCAGTACGCCTTAAACGTAGCCCACTCGAAAGCCAAATAAAAATTATAGCAAATGCGCAGCAAAAATGGTGAATTAACTGAATTGCAATCAACGAGGCGTTAAATCCTTTGAAGGCGCTGTGTATATATGTATGTGTACGTTTATATATATGTGTGTACATTTTCTTTATGTATACATGCAAACATACAGTTGACATTTCAACTGCTGTCGAGGGGAGTCCCCCAGCATTAAGCACTGAGCAAAGGACCCCTAAAATTGCTTCAAAGATTGCCCGCAATTTGGCTGCTGTTTTATTGGCGCTCGTTCGCTGGCGTCTGTTTATCTTGCTAGCAGACTGAGCCAAAAGATGACGCCAAAATATGACCTCATTTCGGGCAGTAAACACACACATACACACACACAATGGCTCTTGGTCGCGCCCATTGAGAGCTCAGGCAAACATTACGCATACGCCATGTGGCACGGGTTGAGAAAATTGTTCTTACACCACAGAAGCTCGAAAGCAATAACAAAATGCAACGAGCGTGTGGTAAATGAAAAACTTTAACTAGTTTGTGTTTTTGTTTTCCATTTTGTTGTTTTTGTATTTTCTCGGGTTTTTTTTTTCAGCCAATGACATTTCAAGTGTTCTTTGAAGTGGGCGTGTGAGCGGCCCTCTTTGCGTGCTACCACAAAGCCAAAAGCAATGGCCAAGCATGGCCGAGCACCGAGTCAGGCCATATAGAAGCAGAAAATGTCCATTATTTCATTCCATTGTGCTGCAGGTGGAAATTGCGATTAACCTATTAAAAAAAGGGGCAACAGCTCACAAAGTGAATTAACTTGTCGTCGGTCTAGCGATACCTGCTGGAATTTCCAATTTCCCATTTCCATTTCCATTGCCATTACCTACAGTTGATTTTCATTGCCTGATATTGTTTGGGAATAAGTTGAGTCGTGTCTAGGCTCTATGCGCATTCATTTATTATTAATATT